GCTGCGCTCTCTCTGTCTGTGTCTGTGTCCCCCACTCCCTCCACCTGATTCTACTACATTTTAGCTGTTTGCTTTCTTTCTCTCTCCTGCAGTAGTAGTTGAAGTACTCAGATCCTTTGCTTAAATAAAATTACTAACACTACAGTATAAAAATACTCTGCAAACAGAAGTCCTGCATCAAACTTTTACTTACGCAGAAGTACTAATGTTTGAAGTGATTAAAGTGAAAGCACTCGTCATGCAAAATGGCCCCCTTTAAAGCGTTTTATTTTTAATTGAGTAAAAGACTTTAATTTTAATAAAGATCTGGGAACATAAAGCATTCATCATCAAGCAACCTCACATCCACATATGACACAAACACATGTTAGTCTCAACAGGAAACAAAGTTTTAAAACAAAAACAGGCACTAACAGTACGTATCTTGAGGGCAGTTTTCAGTTCATTTAGTTCACAAAGGGCACATAGACTAATATGCACTGCACAAATGGGATACTTAAGGTTAAGTAGTCATTGTCTTGTGTGCTGCAGTTAGAAGAATGAAATAAAGAAGGGGCACTTAAGTAAAAGTACAAAAGTATTAGCATTAAAACATACTTAAAGTACTGTACTAAAAGTACTCATTATGCAGAATGGCACATTTCACATTCCTGTATATCATGTTATTGGATTATAATTATTGATGCATCACATTTAATGTTGCAGCTGGTAAAAGGGGGGCTAGTTTTAACTGGCTTATATGCATTTAATTTGAACTACTGCTGTGTAGCTTGTGAATTTTCCACCACAGAACAACGAGGTCTTATACTGTATTTTTTTTGCATTTATTTGGTTCTGAAAAGTAACTAGTAACTAAAGTTATAAAATAAATGTAGTGGAGTAAAAATATTTGCCTCTAAAATGTACGGATGTCAAAGTATAAAGTAACAGAAAATAAAAATACTCAAGTAAAGTATAGATACCTCAAAATTGTACTTAAGTACAGTACTTGAGAAAATATACTTAGTTATTTGCCACCACTGGTTATTCCAGAGTGGATTAAGAAGAAGAGTGACAACATCTCTGTTCACTTCATAAGGACTGTTTTGTATTGTTTTTTACACATATTGAATAGTTCCAAACATTAGGAGCAGCACCACAAAGTTACTTCTAAAGTAAGAAGTTAAAATCAATAGCAATACTTGTACTTGTGACATTTTAAGTTAGCAACATGTATCAAAGTTACTTCTAAAGTAAGAAGTTAAAATCAATAGCAATACTTGTACTTGTGACATTTTAAGTTAGCAACATGTATCAAAACACATTTTGCAATCATTTGACTGTCTCTCTCCAACTAACTAGCTAAATTAGCTGAGCTAATGTATCTACAACAACAGAACACAGAATTAGTTTGCAAGGCTGTTTAAGTCATTACATGTACTAATTGCTGATAAATCCTGCTTTTCCCTA